TGTAGTAGAATTTTCCAAAGTAACATTATTCTGTGTTCGTCCATCCAAATACGATATATTGGCCGCATTAGTAGGTGGACGACTGAAAATACCAAAAGTGTGACTATATCGAGTAACAAATATTAACAATTCTATCGCAATAAATACTACGAGTTAATATTTCAAGAAATTTAGATAAATAATGGATGCTTTTCATTTGGTGACACAAGTATTCTATTTTTATTACTCATTGGAATGCTAAGAAAGATAGAATTGGTGCTTTTCATTCAGGGACATAAATATAAACATCACTTTATCTTTATTGATGTTTAATGAATAACAAAGACAAACCGACACTTGTGTCACCAAATAAAAAGCACTATGTTAGTTCCATGTGCTATTTTACTCCAGACAAACGTTTTAATAGTGATGTAGAAAGTTACTTACTTATCGCTATTCGAGAACGAAGCCTCGCTTCGTACGATGGACGAGCTCAGCGGCTGATCGTCGTCGCCGACGAAATTAAGAGCACGTCGTGCCCGAGAGAGGGTGATGTTCCGTAGAGGCTCCCGCAATGACGACGGCCCGCTGCCGTCGGCCGCACTCCCGTTGGACGCCGTCGAACCGCCGGGAGTTGAACAGCCAGCCGTCGCATTCTCGGACGGGTCGTCCTCGGCGTGTGCCACTCGCAGGCTCTGCAGCCTTGACGTGACGTTCGACACGTCGTTCAGGGCGGTCTCCGTAGACATGTTCGCGCACCAAACGTAATACTTGTCCAAGTACTGCCCCGTCTCATTTAATCGCGACGCCTCGCGCCAACGCGAGCGGCGACGAGCGCTTCGGCAGGCGCGGTTTCACCTTATTCTTCCTTATTCCCTAAACCGTGATCGCGATCCTCTTTGAGCAGTCCAAGTCACTCCAAGTGTGCCGGGTTCTCAGCCTGAGTGTGCCAAGGATACGTAAAGACGCCGAATAACGAACACACAACACGCAACAGCACAGAACATATACTAAGCGCAACAGCGGCGTCAGCGGCTGCAATCACTACAGCAACATTCTGCTGCACAACCGCACTCCTCAAGACCCATCTACAATACACGGAGTAAGAAGTAAGAGTAAGAAATTGACCAATCACAGTCGATTATTCTTCTCACATTCGACTGTGATTGGTCAATTTCTTACTCTTACTTCTTACTCCGTGTATTGTAGACGGGCCTTCAAAGCTTGTTCTACAATAGAGTTGCAAGCCATAAGCCGTAAGAAATTAACCAATCATAGGCGATTATTTTTGTCATATTCAACTGTGATTGGTCAATTTCATATGACTTGTGACTTGCAACCCTATTGTAGAACAGGCGTTTTAGGATTTATTCACACAACTTGCATAGCCGCATAAACATATGCATAACGAAAATTATCCAATCACATTTTACGTGCGTCTTTATAATAGAAATGCGATTGGATAATTTTCTTTATGCATACGTTTATGCACTTGTGCAAGTTTGTGTGGATATATCCTTACTGCGATTACTATGAACTCGTTCCGAATTCCGATAGGTAGAGAGCGGTCTTCCCGGCCTTTTTCATGTGACGTTCGTTCGAATGTCGAAAGCCCCGTGCACACTAGTGGCACCAACGTCATTATTATAAAATGATATCAACTATGTAGCACTTTATCGGCTCTGCTGATAAAAAGTCGTAGTGTTGAAAATTAATGTGGAGAGCAAGTTCTGTTACACCCCAAAGTAGATATAAAGAACGTCTAATAAAAAATTAAAAAAAATTTTGTAAAAAATAAAAAAATTTTCTAGCTTACAATTTTTTGTTTTTCATACAAGTTTGTAGTTTCCCACAACTATTCGCATTTTTTCTTTTATTCTAAAAAAGGATTTTTTAAATTCTGTATAAGGAAAACGAAATGAATAAAAAAATAAGAAATGCGCGTTCCATCCATATTATGTGGAAAAGATAACATTATCTCTTCCACCATGGTTTCAGCACAATGATACTGGCCTAGTTTACACCCAACGACCTGACCTATACTATTATCCAAATATTTATATTAACAATCACAAATTTTTATTAATTGTTAATAATGTCGTCGTTCTTCAATCATTCCCGGGCCTTATTGATAATCACGAAAATTTGCCCAAGATCGACCGTCTTTAAAAGTATCTCGTCGATAATATTGATGTGTAGTTTACATCTACTTCTTCAGAGGGCAGTAGTGCACGGAGACATTTTGCAGTTACTGGAAAAGGTTCCCGTGTCCTTTCTCGGATTCCTCTCTGGCGTTACACAAAGAAGGCCGGAATGATCGCTCTCAGGTTTCTCTCTGCTTTTAAAGATTAAATCAGTATACGGCTTTTAATACGCATTAGTGCGCACTACTGCGTACAACCGAATTCTCGCTATTTGTTCACTTACACCGAGTCGAGTGTGCGAAAGTTCAACTGATGCAAATTACCGCGCTAGCCAATTAGCGCGCTGCCCTTGCGATATTTCGAGAATCGCAATATCGCTTCTCGATAGTGACAGTAATGGAAGGCATCACGGCGGGTCGCGAAATCACATTCAACCTTCCGCATTTTTCACGGTCGTTACTATTCAAAAGTGATTCTCGCGCGCGAGAAACAGTCAGACGTGTCTTGTAAAGTATCAGTTGTGAATGTTGTGATATAATCGTTATTAATACATACGAATATCGCGAGTCCAGTATCGAGTGTTTTTTTACGTGCGCGAATGCTACTATATAGGATGTCCATTCAGTAGTTTTGCCACTTTTGGACCATCAGATTAAACTCGATTTGATGAAAGCTCTTACAGCATAGAAGTTCTAGACGCACGCCTAATTAAGAATCCGTCATTAAATATTGTTTTTTCGTCAATGATGCAAATATGCGATAGATTCGCCAAGTGAACTCCGTACGAGTGTAGCGGCGCGTTACTAGCTGTAGGATGACATGGCTAGTTTGAGGTATAATCTGTTCATTAACTTTGTCTTCTAACAATTTAAATAATAATAAATTGATGATAGTACAGACCACATACATAATTCTTTAAGGGATGTTTTAATATCTTTAGGATATTAAACATCCTTAGGACACCCCTGAAGTAGCTGCTTTATAGATCAGAAATCCCTAACAACACGGACTTCCAAGGGACGTCCTGAGGACGTCCAAAGGACGTCCGTATGTCCTTTGAACATCCTAAGGACATCCTCAGGATGTATCCTGAATAAAGTGCGTTATTAGGGATGTTAAATTTCTATAGTTAGTGAGATGACTATATTTAAAAAATTATATGCATGAGTGAGTCAATTCAAATATGATACAGTAATTAACACATACATACACAGCAGTGATCATGATAATTATTGTTTTGTGGATTAAGAATGCACCATTCCTGTAATTAATATAATTAATATATAATTAAAATATCTACATTTATATGCATTAAATAATGTTATAGTTATAAGATTATGCATGACTTAATTGGAACACGCAATAAAATAATAATTCTGTAGATTAAAAACACAGAATTAATACGATTAATGTTGTTTGGGATACTCTGTACATGTATTGTGGAAAAAAGATACAGTATAATTGAATCAGATTTTATAACAAGTGTATTAATGACGTTTATGTACAATGTTTACACGGCGATACAGAAAACATGTCCGCATGTTTACGAAGGTGTTATGTATGATACAACAAATACTAGAAGTCATTTATACGATTAATACGGCAGTTATAATGAAGAAGTATATATCAAAAGTAATTAAAAAAGCATGTTAATATTATGAAACATACATAGACATTGTGATATAAAACAGCAAATTCTTTATTTCCCGTGGAAATATGTACAGCTGTGCATTAAAAATTTTTCAGAAATTAACGTGCTAATATAAAATTATTTTATGAGTACATGTAAATTAAAAATATAACTCTCCACAATACAACTCTTCACAAATCTGCATTGCACATTGCAGTAATGTAAAGATTGATCAAAACTATCAATGTGCCGTGCAAGAAATTAAGAGAAAAAAAGTAGAGGAGAAATATTTTAGTCATTAACATAACATATTCTTCATTTACGCATCGTATCGACGTGCAATGAAAATTCGCGCAGTGAAAAAGACTTAATCTAATGGTTTTATGTAAGTATTTTTCCGCATTTCTTACGAGATAGTCAGATTTATTAATAATTGTCATGGCTGTTGGCACGTTTTACTCTAGTCAATGTTTATTAAGTCGAATCGTATTAGTTCAAATTAAATATACTTTACCAATTTTAATTAAATAGATTTTAATAGTACTATGATTCGCATCTTCGTTATTGAATAACAACGTGCCCCGCAGATCTAGATATAAATGCAATGAGTTAAATTCTAATTAATTGAAATATTATTTATCTTATTAAAATTCTCACAAGCTACCGAGTACATACAAATATATAATATACACGTAAAAGTACAGAATGAAAACTGGCCGCCGGTAAAATGAGGATTAGATTTAATTAAGCTAAACTATTAAATTAATGCACATCAAATCGCCTATTTTAAGAATCAATGAAATTATCTCAATATATTATTATCTTGAAATATTGTTCTTGAACTGCGACATCAGTCAATTATGTTAATTTTGAAAGGTTTCGAAAGTGTATTGAGGCTTGATTCTTGAAAAGTATCGCATACGAAAAACTAAAGAAATCTATAATATACATAACGTGTACTATAGTATTTTCGTATATTTTCGTATGCGATATCTTTCAAGAATCCAGGCCCTATTTGTTAGCAATCGATGTAAGATCGTAACTTCAAACTAGGCAAAAAATTTGACAAATCATACCTATATTTAATTAGCAAAAATTTCTTATGGAAGTAATTGATCAAAGTAATAAATAGGAAAAAAATATTTAGAATACGCTAAGAAAAATATTTGTAAATAAAGCACCAAGAATAAATCGATTGACCGACTTCAAACGCGTCATTCACAAAACGGCGCGTTCTACGTCCGCGGTAATGTCTAATAAATTATCATTACGTAAATAATTGTCATCAGAAAAATCGATGATATGATTGTTGGTAACGTTTACATTGCATCCGACGATTAGTAATACTCTTCAGACGCACATTCCCACATCTTATACATAATCTCACATTCGCACGCGCATTCTCTTGTCAGTCACAACACAATTACTGTCATTAGGACACGAATCAACACTTTCACGTTTCAAAGTCCAACTCTTGGTCCCTTGGTTGGCGCTGTTTGCTCTTCGTTTTTTTCGTCTTCGTCGCCGCAATTTTCTTCTTCTTCGGCTTCGGCGTGATCTCGCAGCTGCACCCACTTCGTACTAGGATGTAGTCCAACGTCCATTCGGATCCGCTCACGGTGTTACCGGAAAACGCGGGAAAATGATGGCGTTCCCTGTGGTGGTGCCTTCTGTGCTCCTCCTGGAATTAATACAATAATTAACCTATATCCCTCGATATACCTTTTATTTTCAAAAAATTATTACAAAAATTAAGTGATTCTTACATATACTTTAACAACTTTAAAAAGTATTTAATATAAAATTGGATATTTAAACAAATTGCATAATTAATAAATATTATAACTAATTATTTGATGCGCCTAGTTTAGTTAATCGAAGAAAAGAAATGTGCAGAACACGAATGACCCATCGTGTGTAATAAAGGACCGAAAAATCATCGTGTACGTATATTAAAGTTAAGAATAACATTTTTTTAAATAAAGGAGATTATGCACTGTTAAATCTATAATGCCAAATTTAATCTAATGTGAGTCACCTGCTTACTAAATATATGAGCCACTTGCTCTTACTAAATATATCGTTTTAGTAAAAAATAACGATATATTTAGTAAGAGCAGTGGCGATTCACATTAAGTTAAATTTGACACTATAGATTTAACAGTGTATATTTTTTCGATTCTATAGTATTTTTCGCGAGTATCAATTTATTTGAAAAAACTTCGTGTAACGCTAGAAAATTTTTAAGTCCATATAATAGTGTGTATTAAGGATTAATGTTGAAATTATGGGAAAATCTTGACGTTTCGTGACCATACCTTCGATCCAGAATCCCTCTTGATGATAGCGTACGTATACGAGTACTTTTGTACGCATATGGACTGGTTGCTGAATTTTCGATCGATGAACCTGCACGGCTTGCCGACAATGTCTGGCCTGCAGGAGTACTCGAAGAATCTCTGGACGTTCTCACCGTCCCGATAGAGCTGGACGTACATGTCTTCTCGAGTTCGACCGCCATACGGTTCCACCATTTCCTCTATCGTAGGACAGCAGTCGACCGGGCGGCCGTCCTCGCCTTCTTGACGCAGGATCATCTGCATCTCCCGATATGTCATCCGCTTGTTCGTCGACACCTCTAGTGGTTCTGCCCTGCGAATTGCAACGGCAAACATTTCTCCTATTTAATCAATTCTTCTTTTTAATCGACATCATTTTCTAATCAAAACGTATTTTCACTCGACCAAATGTTCTTTGAGAGTGCAAGCGGATGTTGTTTGTGGAACTTTCGGATTAAATTTCTAATCGTCGTCTAATCGCGCGTACGATCGTCGTGTTAACAGGAAACTTAATGGGAAATATATGTAAAAAAAAAAATAATAAAAGCACGCTTCGGCTACACCGCAGCGTGCCCTGTTGAATTTAAATCGAATTCTTGCCACCGAAAGAAACGCTGATATTATTCCTCCCATGCCAAGCGCGCTAATAGCTTGTATCTAAATTACGCGATAGAATGTTGTAGCGGTTTAAAAAAAATTTCGTGGAACATGATATTTTACTTCGTTTCGTATATATTATTAACATTTTATGCACACCAGCAATAATAATTAAGATAGCGAATTTCGTGCGATCGATAAAATAAATACCCAAATGTAATGCACACCTCGTTTCAATAAATCATTCGCAAATATTGTTAAATGAACCATGAATATCGAAAACAACATAACATACAAATGGATAAGTGTATATTTTAATACAGAGTTAAACTCCAAACTTAAATTGTTAAAAAAAATTTATTTTAATTTAATTAGATCGAGCAAACTTGATAATAATATTTTCTCGTTTTATTTTTCCGTTACATTTTGTCCGAAAATTTTTACTCACCAGCGAGAAATATGTCCTCTGAAAGGCTCTTCTCTGGGCCTTCGAGAGGTGGAGGATAAAGTCAGATTGTTGGCGGCAGTAAGCCGCGGGCACAGGACTGCGGTCAGCCAAACCACCTGCAACGAAAATCATGAGAATGCTTAAATTGTTTATTCGCGTGTCTAACAAAATTTTTCTTCATCAAATTTATGCAAATTGAAAACACAAATATTAATATTTATCGGAAAAAAAAACAGTTCTGCTAAAGTATCTAAAAATTTAGTTAGATACATACTTAAAAATACTTTTATTTAGACCATTAAAGTAACTATATAAGACACTTAAATTGGTTACTTAATTAAATTGATTACTTAAATTGAGAACGTTAAAACTTTTTACTATTGCCATCAACGTTTAAGCTACATAATTATATTGATGGTCCAACAAAATTATTTTTAGATCTATATCTATATAAATTTTTTAATACTTCAGAATTGTACTTTCTTTTATATGTATATTAGTTGTTAAACTTAATTCCTGCCGTTTGTCGTCTCCAAAATTGATTTGTTTCGAAGGGAAGATGAATAAATACCTTAATCAAAGTAATTTCCTCCATTTTCTACTTTATTACTAATTAATAATACTTTATTAATAGTACTTTGATTAAGGTATTTTCCTTCGAAACAAATCAATTTTGGAGACGAAAAACGGCAGGAATTAAGTTTAACACCTAATATATAGGAAACTTTGTAATTACGGATTGATTGCCATCTAATGCAAAGAATTATTACATTTTTGTATAACAGTGTAAAAATTGGCGCATTTATATTTGCGTTTGATAGCGATCTCGATAGCGAATGAATAAATAGATTTCTATCGCAACAGGTACTGCATGTCTTAGAGCTACGAGCGTGCTATTTTGACGCGGCGCGATGTAAACAATTCTGTCATATCTGAGACGGATATAGAACGGAGACTAATGTGTGCATGACCTTACAATAAATTTCACGAATTGTCAGATTAGAATTGCGTCAATAATAATATCGCGGTGAAGGATCGCGCGTGAGAAAATGCTGGACAGGAGATTGGTACGAACGTGCAATAAAGCACGGCGTTAGTCACGCATCGTCCGAATCCGCGGTGAGCCGGTGAGCGAGCGCGGTATACGTGTAAGCTTACGTGAAGGTGAAAACATTAATTCGGCTTATAATTTTTATGCAAAACAGGCCTCACGGCGCCGCCGCCGCCGCCGCCGCCGTTTGCTGCTTGTTAATACGAGCGTGCCTCTTTCTCGCAGTACACCACACTTTCGATTTAATTGCGCCGTATAACTCGTCACCACACACAAAACACGCGGAACCTGCTTGCTTCATTCACCGGAATAAACCTAAATCTCTTTTTTTTTTTCAAAAAATCCTCGAGATAAGCATAAGGTGTAATATTTATGATTATTTATATTACTCCCACGAAAAAAAAAAGTGATATTCATAAAGAAACGATCCTAAAGGAGATACAAATATATAAATGAATTCTGTGGTTAAATTTAAGAAAGAAAGTATCGTATTATTGCGGATCAGATTCTAATTTATAATAATAGAGAGAGTAGCATTATTATCGACGACACTTATCTTTCATAATTACGAAACGTTATCGAAGAGTCAAACGACAGCTTCTCGGTGCGAGGCCTATGTGAACGAGACAACGCGATATAGCCGCGGCATCGCCGACGTTTAATTAAGCCATCGTTCCTCCGGGTGAACGGTTAACTAAGCGGCGGCGCCTCCTATACGAGGAACTCGTCGTATTGGGCAAAAGACCGCACGTTGGGATTAAACGGATATTCACACACGCGAGACCACACATCGCGCTCTCCGCGATCTTTATCGGATTCTTGCATCAGCCGAACGAGGAAGGAATTCTCTCACCAGCAACGCGATTTTAATCGTATAGAGATGTAGTCGGTGGCGGACATTGCGGCATAACTTAATGACACTTGGCGTTAATTACTCGCTAAATCGAAATATCAAACGATTATCATTGCCCCATTGCGATCAAATTGCGCGATTGTGTATGCGAGCGCCATTGAGAGAGTCCAGTTATTAATGTTGTATTAAGATTGGATAAATAACTGATACGCGTGTAATAAAATGTATGCTAACATACGCGATGGAAATTATCTCTCACACACGAACGCGAAGATTTCACGGCGACGCTCCTAAAGAAACGTTAAGTTAAGCCTCGCGGTTGCGCCCGGGCCAAGAAAACGTCAATTAGCGCCCGCGAATTCTTCTCTCCCTTTCCTTTTGCGATAATGAAACAGCCGGGACGGTGCCCGAGTGCGAGAGGCACTTTCGCGAAAGTCGAAATTAGCCGGTCGTTCCTCGGGTCTCGAGAGAGCACGAGATAATCCCGGACATATTTCGACGGGCCGAGCACGCTTTCGTAATCCCGTTCACTCCAACCCCGTTCGTTCCAATCATCGTTCTTTTTAACAATTTTTAACTAATGACAGTCTGACACTTCATCACTACCCGCCCCGATCATTATCAATCCTTGGTGGAATAAAGATTTACCGCTGCGGCTGTCCGCACCGTATAAAAACCGCGTAAGCTACGGCACTTGGAATGCAAACTCGTTTACGAGTATTGCATCACGCGTATACAGAAGATTTGTATATTAATCGTCAGATGAAAGTACGTTTTTAATATTGTAATTGCATTATAAGTCGCCACGTGACAGTAAAATTAAGTGAGAATGACGTTTTTGTGACTTCTTTACATCATATTCTGCGAATCCCTCACTTTTGTTTAAATGTAATTTATGTACATTTTAATTCTTCCTTTTACGTGTGTTTCAAATTGGCCAGATGCATTTCTTACATAAACAAGGTTGTCATAAAATTGGAAATCAGGAAAATCAGGAAAATTAAAACCAATCAGGGAAATCAGGGAATTTTGTAAAACTTTCTAAAAAATAAAAATTCTTGGTTTTAAAGAAGTTTAATTTATATCACACCTACGCACTTTTAGAATCCAACTTAACAATTAAAAATGCGAGCAGTATCAGCAACATTAATAGTAATTAACGCATTCATTGAAAAAAATTTGTAAGTAAACATTTACTGAATGTTAACATATATTTATTTGATACAACCTTTAATTCGATTTAACTGATTTTTGTTTGATCAAATAAATATTTATGTACTACAAATAAATGTTTATATACAAATATCTAAATAATTCAAAAAAATATTAAGATATAGAAAACTTTTCTCAGTGTTATTATGTTAAATTAATCTTCTAACAAAATATTTAAAATTTTAAATCAGGACGAAAATATAAAAAATTTTTTAATATTATTCAAAGTCAGGGAAAATCATGAAATTTTATCTGTAAATCAAAGGAAAGTTATAGAATTTTAGAATGAGGAATCTGTGACAACTGATATTTATTTATTACTTTATATCTCGATTAGTAACAATTATTAATGAAATTCTTCCTTCTTACTATTTATACGATTTTTAAAATATCTAGTAGATACATTTTCAGAAAAAGCTAATCGTATAATTGATAGAGAAATGCGTTACATCACGTGTATCAGTGTAATTAATTACAATCGTATTAATTATATTGATACCATGCTAATAATACTAATTATACTAATGACAGCAATGACATCTAATTCCAAAAGTTACTTAAAACTTAAAACTCGGAGCGATAAAGTAACATTTATTTTTTCCCTCTCTTATCCCGGTTATCTTCGCTGTCAGGATGTATCTTAACGGAGGAGGAAATACTGTCCCTGCCACGTGGAAGCGGCGGAAAATAATTTGTGACGCAATTAGAGTCCCATAACGTATTGGCGATGACGCTCCATACCGGCGATCGGAGGCCCACCGGGGGCCGACTAGTTCTCCGTATCTCATACCTCCTGGAATGCACTCGAGACCCCGCGATATACCTATACCTATCCTGGGTATACCGATAAAGTTCGAAGAACCCCGAGAAGACCGGTATCGTGAAGACGCTTATCAGCTGACGTGTTTATGTCTCTGCGCGCGCCACGTGGGTCGTGTTTGTGCTCGCTCTGAATCCTATTCTCTCTTCCTGTCGCAAGTCATCAATCCGAAAAATTAATGACGATCGATCTTTTGTACGCATGCAAACTCATCGGTGATTATCACTAGGAAATTGGTACGTCATCCCGAAATATGTCAGAAGTCTTTAACCTGGTTTTTCATTTGGTTAACTTTTGATTAGGCTTAACCTGATGATAATGTAAAAATTATATTTTTTTATCCATGATTAATCACTAAACTGATGGTTTTATAGTGAGTAATTTTTAAAGTTATCGCTAAAAAACCATTAGTTTAGTAATTAATTATAGCTAGAAAATTACAATTTTAACATTATTATCAAGTTAAGTGAGGTTAAATCTAAACAGCAAGTTAACTAGATAAAAAAAAATCGGGTCTGTAAAACTCTTAGAAGAGAAGAATATGTCGAAAGAATATGTCACAAGATGAAATTGACCGCGTTTAGCAGAATATTTATTATGCAACTATTGGAAATATTTTTCACTGAGATTAACTATTTCTTTAGACAAAAAATTTTGCTGAAGTATCTAAAAATTTAGCTTGATATATTTATTATAGCTGAATTTTTATATAGACAATTTGATAATAATTTTATAGGACGTTGAAGCTGATTATTAAAATGTTAAAACTTTTTACGACATTGCTTAAGTTTAGTACATAATTATTTCGATGATTCTACAAAATTATTATAGTTTCAGATCTATCGAAAAATTTTAGATATCTCAGAAAAATTGTTCTTCCCAAATATAAAAATATAATCCAATCAGTGCGAAGAAAACTTATAACAGTGGCAAAATAAATATTCTGCTGAATGAAACCATTGAGTTAGCAGAGAATTTTGATCGAAACTTCGAAGATGAGATTTGAAAAAATTTTATTCGCATCACGTTTTATGTTCAACTTTTATATTTTTTACTATAGTTCTTACTTCGTCTAATTACTAGTACATTTAAAAAGAGACTTTCTCCTATGATTCATAGACGCGTTCATCGTTTCCCGCAACGAAACGCAAGTAAACATTTAATTAAAACTCTAACATTT